TGACAAGCATTACAATACAACAATTATAGTAGGTCCTTCTTTTGCCTTCCCTTGAAGTTTCTTGGGAAAGTTTTTAAATAAAGCTATTTGAATTAGGAGTTTCTAAATAGAAAAAGTTCTGATAGCTGAGTAGCAGCCGGTCCCCAGCTGAAAGCCATGCAAATAAAAGGAGTCTTTTCTTGCTTAGGCTTTAGTTAATAGGGATGTACTGGCGGCTATCTACTGTCTTAGGTTATTGTTTAGCTAAAACAATAAGTTCTAGTGTAAGGCTTAGTTTTTTATTAACCTTGAAGGTTGCCTTTTTACTGAGAGCATGTAGTGGCCAGAAGCCTATGAAAAAAGAAATGCACTGATTGTTTCTGCTTTGTTTCTATGCACATGATAATGTAATCTCACTGCTTGCTAAAAATGTATAAATAAAGAACCTGCTGAACCTCTCAGCAAAAGATACTAGCACCTTACCAAGTGTCAGTGTCTCCTCATTCTACCTCATCCCCTTCCCCTCAGCCCTTTCGTTTTCGCCGACGCCATCTCATCCTTTCGGGAACCCCTAACACGACATTTTGCCAGAGGCTGGTCCCCGGCATTTCATGAATAATAATTTCTTTACTAATTGAAGGCAACATCCTCAGAAATGTTTTGAAACTATTAGAATAATTGTGGTAAAATTGCTATATTACATAGAAAAAAATGATGCACCATTTTTTATGATAATTTTTAAATCCTCTTTTAGGTAAAGATTGAATGTTCTATTGTGGAGAATAGTCATGTGAGCATATCTATTAATTTTTCTGCAGTAAATAACTTTCATTTGGTCACTTACACAAATTGTTACAGGGGCATGAAGGATTACTAAATGATATTTTCCCCAAATATAAAGTTCTGATGATCATTAAAATTTAAGGATTGTTTTATATATGAAAATTGATAGATGATACATTGTTTCTTAAAATCCTAAGGAATATTGACAAGACGACAAAGATTTTTTAAATGACACTTATTTTTGACAAGAATTGGCAAACATCTTAATGGTTAATATAAAAAAAAAGCATAAAGTAATCAAATGCATCTCATTTAGAGGACAATACTATTGAATCAAACTTTCTGAAGGATCCTATGAGTGTCCAAATCAGTGAAAGTTGCTTTAGTGGCATAAACTACTGTAATATATTAAATACTACAACTTAATATCTTAGTAATCACTCTGCAGTGAGTGGATTCTAGAATTAATCTGACTTTGAAAGCTACAAAATGTGATCATAACAAAAGTTAGCTAGAGTTTACAAGCTAAGTTTACTTACGTAAATGGGAACACAAATATGTATTTATATGTAGAGTTCATATAAAACATTCAATCAGTCTATTATAAGCTCTCAATATTTCAAATATTTAGTCTGCTGTTTTACACATTTGCCATTGTTATTTCTGTCATATAACAGTTAGGCTATATAACATAATTCATTAAACAGGAGTCTGTAGATCTTTTTGGCAATGTTTAATTCTTTTTTTTTTTTTTAACTTTTGATGGCTAAGTAAGAACTTTATGGATACTTCATAATTCTGATTTTTATAAAAATTAAAATTATTTTACTGAATCTAAGTGTATGAGGAATTTCATTAAACCTTACTGAGTGGATGAATTCATTTTGAGAATCTGATTAAAACTGAGCTAAACAATAAATGATATGTAGATTTATAGCTAACTGATCACAAAATCCAAAATAAACTGCTCTAGTCATGATGCTTATGGGATTTCTGGTAAAATTGTATTGATTTAAAAAAAAACAAATTATGCTTGTACTTATATATTAAACTAATTCTTCACAGCCTGAGTTTAAATTTTTAAGCACCCCTACCATATATTTCATATGAATTATAATAGAGATAACAATAGAGATAATAATATTCTCCATAATTATGAGTTGTGGCATCAGATACCACATTTGTAATCAATGAGATGAGCTGGTAAGAGGAGAATAGGAACACATACCTTCTGTTGGCCAAAGAGTGGCATATCCTATAGTGGGACATCTGGGAACCCGTGGGAACAGACAAACAATATCTGTGGTTTACACAGACTCTCCTGTGAAGGTTCAGAACGAAGCAAGAGTGGCAAAAGTAGATTTCTATCAGTGTCAAAATTTGAACAGGAAATTCTAGCACTTGTCTGGACTGTGAAGACAGTTTATCTCATCACTCCTCCAGAGAAGAGGAGACTTCTGAGTTTGCAATGTCTTTCAGTTTGTTCATTGAAAAATGCCTCCGAGAAATTGTTTTCCTACTTTTTATTTTTTTTAACTTAGGTAACAAGGGGGTATCTCTATCATACATTACCACCAGAGTGCATCCACCACCATCCAGGCAATTATCCACCAAACAGAACTTGTGCCTCCCTCTCTCCCTCCCAACCCTCTCCTTTGGTGTCTCAGTTTTGTAATCAGATATCATGGATTAGTTCCTCAACTTGTCTTTATCTGACTATTAACTTAGTTACTTCATATTCAACTCATGCCATTTGCAACAACATGGATGTAGTTGGAAAAGATAATGCTAATCAATATGGTTTCCTATTTTAAAAGATATCAGGGAACCAGCTGACCACACTGCTGTTCAATTGCTTCCATCTCAAACACAAAACACTAAAACTTAGGTCTTGTATCTGATGTGTTCTACATTAAGAGGAGGTTACTGAATCTTGGGACGATATAACTTTTCCTGATGTTCTCATTTTCATTTCTAATTTAATGAAATATTTCTAAAATCACAATCCAATAGCAATATGTATTAAATGATGAATGTCACTGATTATTCTGAAAAATGATTACATCTTCAAATTTTATAACAGTCACATAATAACCAGCTCCCAAACTTTTCTGTCCATTATTTTGTACTCAATATTCTTATCTGTAAACAGTTGTTTAGATTTTCCCTGATAAGAGTAAATGTCTCTTAGAAGGATAAAATATTCAACAATATTGAATTATATCACCATTGCAAAATTGAAATATTGATTAAGTGCTCATTAGCTAGTCATTCTTTCATCCTCCAATCATAATAACCAGTACATTAATAGGAATTTTTGTTATAAATGACAATAGCCCAATCCCAACTACACAGAGTAGCAATACTAATATTTTAAAAATATAATAACCAAAAAGATGGAAAAGAGAAGAAGTTAAATTTTATTTATTTTTAAAATTTATATTGGGCCTCCCTGGAGGTGCAGTGGGTTGAGCGGTGCACTGTGAAGCTGTCTGTAGCCTTTGCAGAAAGGGTTCGATTCCTGGCCAGCCAGGGAGAAAAACCACATGGCACGGCAGACCTCCCCTGCCTCGCCCGCTGCTCCCCTCAGCAGTGTCTGCGGTCCATCTGCCTGTTCTGCTCCACACAATCTTTGGTGAATTCTCTTACCCTCCCATGCATCTGATCTGTACCCCAGTTCTTCATAAACAAATAAATATTAAAAAAAAAAAATATTGTTCCTGAAGTATCATTGTTACACATGCTTGTAGTGTTTTTAAAGTACAAGATTTTCCTCCAAGTCACCAAACCACTCCCACCACTGAGGTACCATCATCAAAGTCCATTGTGCTCTCCCTCCACACCCATACTCTCAACTTTTCCCAACATCCTCTCACAGAGCAGATCTAAGGCCAGCTTTCAAGGGTTAAGATTTATCTTTGTTAAATGACCATTTTTTTTTTTTCCTATATTTCACATATAAGTGGAATCAGTATTAGCAAGATGTGGTATATATACAAAATGGAATATTGCTCAGCAATCAAAAAGCTAATAAACTCATGCCACTGTGAGCAACAGGGATTATGCTATGTGAAATAAGCCAGAAAGACAAAGATAAAAGTAAGCTAAATGGTAAAAGTAAGCTAAATGATAAAAGTTAAATGTCAAGGGCCTCCCCAATGGCGCAGCGGTTGAGCGCTGGATTGCGAAGCTGCCCGCAGCCTCTGCAGCACCGGTTCGCTCCCCGGCTGCTCCCCGGACACCGGAGGAGGGTCCCACATGGTGTGCAGGCCTCTCCTGCCGCCCGCTGCTCCCCTCAGCAGTGTACTTCGGTCCTTCTGCCTGCTCTGCTCCCTGCTCTGGCTCTGTTGAATTCTCTCACCCTCCCTCGCTTCTGACTGTACCCAGTACTTGTATAAATAAATAAATAAATCTTAAAAAAAAAAAGTTAAATGGCAAAAGAACATCAAAAAACAATACAAAACAAAACAGGGCCTTCCTCTTGGCCCAGGGACTAAAGACAGGGCTATCAAGCTATTGCTAGCCACTGCAGCATGACTTTGAACGCTGTGCCTGCCAGGGAACAACCCATATGGCGAGGCAGACCTCTCCTGCCTCGCCCACTGCGCTCCTCAGCAGTGTAATTCAGTCAGTCTGTCTGTTCAGCTCCCCAATCTCTCTGGTGAATCCTTTCACTTCCCAGCCCCTGCACCTCTGGCTTACACCCCAGTTTTGTATTCACAAATATGAGCCAGAGTAATGACCAAAAAGAATTTTCACAATTTCATACAAATTAGAGAGAAATAAAAAAGTAAATCTGTCTTATGAACTATTGCTTGAAATGTATACATTGCCAAAAGAAGTAAAAACAGAAATTGAACATGCAGCAAAGAAACTGAAAATGTAAAAGTCAGAATTAATTGAAATTACTCAAAAAAAAAAAGGAGAGAAAATTAAGAGCACAAATGAGAAAGAACAAAATAATTGTTAAAGAACATCAAAAAATATTTTCTCATTGTTAAAACTTAGTAAAAGTCATAACAAATGGTTGAGAAAACAATTGAGAAGATATAAGCCCATTATATCTTACTTAAACATGGAGAATCAGTAAGTTTTTACTGATATATACCAGACAAGAAAACAATATTAAGTAATTTCCAATTAAATAGAAAGTAGTCACAAACATAATCCAAGATTTTTTTTTAAACAACTTTATTGAGTTGTATTTACAAAACACAAAATTCATCTTTAAAGTGCATACATCAAAGATATTTAGCAAAGTCAGAGTTTGCAAACCTCATTACCCTTAACACTCAGAAAGCTTTCATCACTTCAAAAAGAAACTGAACCAATAGATGGTCACCTCCTCATCCTGCCTTCCCTCAGTCCTGGGTAACCCCCAATCCAATTTCTGTACCCATTGGTTTGCCATTATGTATAAATAGACTCACACAAAAAATGATCTTTCTGAAAGCTGAACACCACGAATGAAATGTTGCACAAAAAAATGTCAGGGACAAAAGTAATTATATCTGTACATTTTGCTATAGTGTATTTCAATAATTATTTGAAAAAATGACATTAGACCAAAAAACAAAATCAATAATAAGACTTATTTCTTGAAATGGAAAGGTACACAAATAAATCCAAACTTAGTGTCTTTTTTTTTTTTAATTTAAGGCTTATGCTTGCAATAATACATATTTGGGATATCACAATTCTCTGCATAATATTCAGATTGTACCATAATACAGTGATAGTCAGCAGGTACTGGTTTTCGTATCCTGGAATAAAGAAAAACACATCATTCTGTTGTTATATAATGTTGGGGAAAACCAAGAAACAATAGCTTTTCTTTTCATTGCAATACAAACATATTTTGAAAATGGAGGAAAACAATTTTCATGGAATATTGTAAGGGTTGGGAGTAAGAAAAACTGAACTGTCCTCTCTTCAATATTTATCAAGTATTCAACACCATTCTTCATGTGTATAATTTAAATCAAATGCACTAATAGCATTCTTCTTATATTCCTTTGCATCCCTTTCTTCTCTTAAGTAATATAATGCTGGGGAAAAACAAGAAACAAGGGCATTTTTAATGATACTATAACATTATTGAAATAATACTTACTCTAGTTGGGAAGTTGACCCATTTATAAATGTCCATGTCTGATCGCTGCCATTGGGGTCACTGCCATTACGGTGGACTCCAACCCATGACATAACTGATATGGATTTCATAAATTTCTATTCAAACATAAAGATTTTCACTTACATAAGAATAATGAAGGCCTCATTAAAAAAAAAAAAACACAAGTAATATGTTTTTTCATAAGATCCTACATTTTCAGAAGAGACAGATTCCAACTAACACCACATATAGTGTGCTGAGAACTATTGTACATAGTACCACAAATTCTCGCCAGCACAGCATCATTATATAACATGAGTTCCTAAACTTTTATACTTACGAACTTCACTGTTCTTGTTATGCGAACAAGGAAGATCTGACCTAGGCCTGAGGCCTGTCAGCACCAACCTACAACAGATGAAGGCTTGGGGCAGCCATTCATCCCTTGAGGTGACAGGTCCTCTGCAGCAACAGCAGGAAGCCTTACAGGGGGCGATGCATCAGGACAGTGACAACAGCCAGCAGCCAGGACATGCTTCACCTCCCACCACAGAGGGACACATGAGCAGGGCTGGGAGGTGGAGTTGGGACAACTAAGAGGACCCTATGACTAAAAATACCGAATCCAGGAAGTTTCTTTTTCTCTGAGAAGATGACACTCACATCCCGCCCCTGACACATTAAACAGAACGGATTTTAAAATGTTCTATCATGAAATTCTGCAGTGAAAATTAGCAAACAGCAGATAAATGCAATATGCAGATGAAACCCAAGGAATTTTAGGGGAGTGACAAGACAGGAACAAAAATATATACCGTATGATTGCATTTTGGTTCATAAACAAGAAGAGAGATCTATGAAATTAAAAGTCAAGTCAGTAGCTAAATAACCAGACAGGAGGCATGAAGAGAAAGCAGACTGCGTGCAGGGGTGCACTGGGGTCTGGGACTTCTATTCAGGATCTGCTCTGTAGATACAATTTTCATTCACTGGGTGATTAATCTGCCCAATCACAATATGCTCCCCTTACTTTTTATTTTTTTTTTTAGATTTATTTATTTGTTTATACAAGCACTGGGTACAGTCAGAAGTGTGAGAGGGTTAGAGAATTCACTAGAGCCAGAGTGGGGAACAGAACAGGCAGACTGACAAAATACACTGCTGAGAGGAGCAACGGACTTAGCAGGAGAGGTCTGAGTGCCATGTGGGCCCCTCTCTGGCGTCCGGGGATGGAACCGGTGCTGCAGAGGCTGCAGGCAGCTTCGTGGCCCAGCGTTCAACCACTGTGCCGCCAGGGGAGGTCCGCGCTCCTTTCTTTTCTTTCTTTTTTTTTTTTTAAAGAGGCATGTATTTTTATTTATTTATTATTTGTTTGTTTGTTTGTTTATTTATACATGCACTGGGTACAGTCAGAAACGCGGGAGGGTGAGAGAATTCACCAGAGCCAGAGCAGGGAGCAGAGTAGGCAGAAGGACCGAAGTACACTGCTGAGGGGAGCAGCGGGCGGCAGGAGAGGTCTGCGCGCCATGTGGGACCCTCCTCCGGTGGCCGGGGAGCAGCCGGGGATCGAACCGGCAACGCAGAGGCTGCGGGCAGCTTCGCAAACCAGCGCTCAACCGCTGCGCCACCGGGGAGGCCCATGCGCCCCTTTCTTGATGTGCATTAAACAGCAATCTTTATTTAATATGTATATATACAAATATATATATATATACACCTCATATATATCTCATATATATATATATGAAATACAGTTCTCCATGAAAACCAAGAACTGAGGTATTCAAGTGTGCATTAATGGTACAAAGATTTTATTAAAATCCTCAAAATCAGATAATGGAATGTTATACAAACTATAAATAAACTACAAATTTATGCAAAAATATATATGAATTTCTATAAATAGAAATTAGACTGGAATAAGTCTTCAATAATATGGCTGGGATTTGAATTTCTTACCATTTCTTCCTCAGTGTCTATGTAGAGCAGCTGAGACTTCTTACTCTGACAGGCCGTCACGCTCTCCTTCCAGGTTTTTCTTTCATCACTAAAGTAATAGCAGCTGTTGGAGTAAGTAATCCACTCCTTTGGACAAGGACCACAATGACATGCTGAAGGGAGATTATGAATTATTATCTAAAACTATTCGCATAACTAAAATAAGACATATCATCTATAAGCCAAGATATGAACTGACATGTACATAACACATGCACACACCTCACAGCTGGTGCATACAACACACACAGAGAAAGGGGCAGTTTCTCATGCTATAATTTATGTGCCCATATGACCCAAACTCACACAAAAAATATCCACGTAAATTCCTGACAAAGAGTAAATCATCTTTCTAATAGTAAAATTATTTATACATATAAATAGTAGTAGGATATGAGCCAGTTGGCCACATGCATGTGTGGATTCTATGTGAATTTTTTTCCTTTTGTTGGATATGATGAACCCCTCTATGTGCATTATTCATTAACATTTTTTTATTTTATAAAGTATATTTTACCAGAAAATTTGTTACCATTTTTACCTAGTCTAACATATATATATCATATAATCTGAACTAACATCAGAATTTCAGAATCCATTGTGTACCTTTCTGGATGTCTGTTACTGGGGAGAAATCATTCTGCTCTGGAGTTATAGCAGCTAGAAAATATAATCATTATGAAAATTAATAGTGTTCTAAGTAAAAATCAAAATAATATTTGTAAGTTAGAAATGTATGTTGGGGGCCTTCCTGGTGGCGCACGGTTAAGACCCAACCTATGAAGCTATCCACAGCCTCTGCAGCACAACTTCGATTCCCAGCCAGCCAGGGAGCAACCCACATGGTGCAGACCTCTCCTGACTCTCCACTTCTCCCTTCAGCAGTATGCTTTGGTCAATCTGCCTGTTCTGTTCCCCACTCTGTCTCTGGTGAATCCTCTCACCCACCCCTGCACCCCCACCTCTGGCCTACACTCCAGCTCTTATATACATAAATAAAGAAATCTTAAAAAAAAAGAAAGAAATGTATGTTGGTTGGGTGATAATAATAATCTATAATAAGTTGAATTTCCAAGGAAATTACTAAGAGAATAAAGCTTTTGGGGAAAATATCATAAAAAAATTAGAGTCAAATTTCACCATCTCTTACAGTATGCAGTCAGCAAATTTCAAAAGTCATTTCATAGTTTTCAATAATTTTTCAGTCTCCTAAAGAATGACTTTGAATCATGGTGTCTGAACCTCCACAATCACTCTGTGTATTTGTACACAGAAGGTGAGAAGGTGAGATTAACCATTCAACATTAATTAAACTGATATTAACATATGTTCTATTCCTTAATATTATGAAATATTTAAAAGCACTGACAATCATTAAGTGAAAAGTTCCATTACATAATATTTCATAAATTTACCTACAGGTATAAACCCACACCAGCACAATAATGCATATCAAGACAAGACAGGTGAGTCCCAAGATCCCAGCAATGCACTTCTCTGGAGGTGCTGCTAAGCCTGCAGGGAGAGAAATGGAAACACTGAGAAAGGACAGATGGAGACAGTTGCTCAGTTTGTGCACAACAAATTATAAAAACACAGGCAGTTACAGATATAAATTTGGACCTGAAAATAAATAAATAAATAACTTTGGACCTGAGACCTCTATCACCCACTGGAATTATTCCCCCACAATATATCATTGCTTTTTTAGTAAAGAAAACACCTATGAATTGTTGTTTGTCAACAATTATAAATTATAACAATATCTGGAAAAAATAGACATCAGGTTTCCTACTAGAATACCATATTCCAATGTCAAATTCTCAGCCTCACAAATGAAAAACATGTCACTTTATTCCCTATTCTTTGCTCACCTCCACCCCTCTGCATCTCCCAGAACAGTTATGTTGTGTTTCTACTCAATGTTTTACCTTTGAGGTGACATGACTTGCCATTCTCCTGAGGATCCCGAGCAGCATTGTAAAGATTTAATTCTGCGTAGGTTACTCCCGGCTCCGTCACAGTAGTGGAGCTTTTACTCTCTTTAGGTTTCACTTGCGGCCTTTTTGAGTCCTTTGCCAGCTTCAGCTCTGCATAGGTGACTCTTTGCTGGTTCATCTCTGCTGCTCTGTAAAGTCAGGAACTGTGCTCTGTGATAAATGCTTCTCAGTCTTTAATAAATGGTCATAGGACCAGATCCCTGTGGGCGGAGCGTGAGTTGAGTGATAGACTCATATTGCAGTTGAACAACACACATGTCTGCTCTAAAGTCCTAGAGCACTAAGGTAGTATCAACAGAGGCGGATCCCGTCCTCCAACATACAGACAGTGGTATAAGAAATATTACCTCAGTGAGAAAATATTTTAAAAAATAGAAACTCCTAGGAAACTTAAACATAAGTTTCATGACAGAAAAAGTTTTTAAAAGGATATTCCATGCTGACATAATAGTATTGGTTGGAAAATGAAAAGCAAAAAAAAAAATCAAAAATGAGAAGTTCATAACCAATATTATCTTTATCGATTTAAAGTCATATTCCACAGCAGCATCTTAACATCACTTATATAGCTGTATTGAAATCAGAATGGTGATTTACAAAAAAAATAATGTACCAACTTTTGTGTCAATTTTTAAAAGTAATGGTTAATGACTGATTATTCTAATTTGGAGAAATAGCAGTATTAGCATTTCCTACACTAAGTATTTTTATTTAGTAATTTATTGTTATTTATTAAAAGGGAATGAGGTTATTTTCTTTCAAAATATATCTCATTCTCAGGTTATTTTCTTTCAAAATTCTCAGGTTATTTTCTTTCAAAATATATCTCACATTATTGTGATATTCTGAGAAATATTTACAATATTAAAGAAATTATGTTAATGGCATGCTAACCTTGTCCAAAACCTAAACAATAAAGAAAACAAAACAACAAAGTATAATATTTAAAAAATAAATAATTTTAAGTAATATAAGAAGTTGGTAATTGATTTAATAGCTAGATTAAAAAAAAACAATAAGCTACCTACATTATTGGGTCATTAATTATTGGAACAATGTTATTGGTTGAAACTGCCAGATAGAGCCTGTAACTCTCCAAGTTCATGAATGTTGCCTTAGTTGTGCAACTAATTGCAATACATAAAAAATAATAATTTTAGTAATTCAGTCAATAGACTCTGTAATGAGTGGGATCTAGAATTAATTGACTTTGATACTATCACATTTTAATTTTATCTTATTAAAAAAGATAAAGGAAAAATAAAATAAGAAGTTATATGGTCTTTCAAATTAGTTTTAGTTTAATAATCTAAAATGGAACTCGGAATATCTAAGATAGAATACATGTAATACATGATATTCAACCTGATTTTTGTCAACTGTCAATAAAACATTCCTTATTTTAATTATTATTTTGATACAACCACCATGTTTTTCCTGTTTCATAACATTTATACCCTGTAACCTAATTCATTAAACAGAAGTTTGTTTTATTAGCATGGCATTTCTTATACATGCTTTGTTTATTTTAAGCATTTTGTATACTTTTAAATTCAAAAACATTTTATGGAAGCTGTCTCATCCTGATTTCTATTAACATTAAAATCTTTTATATTGGCTCTAAGTATGTACATAAGGAATTACCTTTGAGCTTCATGAAGGAATGAATTCATTTTAAGAGTCTTATTTTAAATATTGAGCTAAATAAAAAAATAAAGAATTATATCTGTATTTATTGTGAATTCCCAAATAAACTTTTCTTTGTCATGATCTGGTGAAAATTCTAGTTAAATTGATTGATTTACAAATCTAATTATACACAGATGTTATAAACTTGACTAATTCTCCACTGGAAAGAATTCAAATATTTTGAGAAATCCCCAAAATATTTCATTCTCTTCTTGTTTTTGACCCTAATTATTCATATAAAGATACCAAAATTTCTTTGATTTGATTGTATATGAATTGTATATCAATTGCCTCACTTCTAACCTTCATAAACTTCCACTAAAGAGACAGACCAGCAACACATACCTTCTGTTGGCGAGGAAGTTGTGCATCCTTGAGTGAAGGAGGAGACACCTCCATACTGATTTTCACAGGGACTGGCCCACAGAGCATCCTATCAGCAGTGCAAGAGGTCCCTCTTCTCCATATCCTCACCAGCACTTGTTGTTCTGATCTATGATCACAAACAATATCTGTGATCTTTAGAACTGCCCTGTGAAGATTCAGAGTGAAGCGAGAGTGGAAAAAGCAGATTTCTCATTAAAGTGTCACTAGCAGTTTGAACAGGAAATTGTTGCACTTGGGCTATTTTGAAGACAGTTCACCTCATCACACACCTGCAGACTATAGGAGAGGATGGGTTTATAGTTGTCATTGACCTTTTCCATTGTCAAATGCCTCTGAAATATATCAGAGAATAAAAGACTTAAACACCCATGCTTGTATTTTGTTTCCATAGCAATGATAAATACTGAAAACTTACACCTCATTAAGACTGTCTTAGATGTTTAAATTCTACTATCAAGCAAGATACCTAAAATTTTTTTAAAGATTTATTTATTTATTTATACAAGAACTGGGTTACAGGCCAGATGTGTGGGAGGGTGAGAGGATTCACCAGGGACAGAGTGGGAACAGAACAGGCAGACTGATGAAATACACTGCTGAGGGGAGCAGCGGGTGAGACAGGAGAGGTGTGCTCGCCATGTGGGACCCTCGCCGGGCCACCAGGATCTAACCTGTGCTGCAGAGGATGTGGGCAGCTTCATAGCTCTGTGCTCAACTGCCTGAGCCACCAGGGGAGGCCCAAGATTCATAAATCTTGACATTATATACTTTTCCCATATACCCTCAGTATATTATTGATATTGAAATGGAAAAAAATCATATCTTTATTCCATTGCCAATAGGTGTTTAATGATGTTTGTCGCTAATTCTAAAAAATCACTGCATTTCCAAATTTTCTATTATAGCGAAGATCAATACCTAAACTTCTCAACGTCTCTTCCCTAGTTCATAAAATTTCTGAATTCAATTTTATTCTTTATAAATAATCAATTTAGATTTCCACTGATAAAAAAGAATATTAAACCATACTGTCATTCCAGTGACTGAAATATTACCACCATTCATTCATTCATCATTTATAATTATATTTTAACAGGAATAGTTATTGTAAATGATAAAAACCTAAGGGTACTTTACTTATGTAAGGGAATTACAACGGTAACTTTCAAAAATCTCACTGAACAAAAATTGGGGGAGCAGAGAAAAATAGACTTTTGAAACACAAGTTGAAAGCATATTACATAATGATCATTATCAAGAATTGCAAATCAAGACACAAGGAGATACCATCTCAGACCTGTGAGAGCTCTATATCAAAAAGATCAGAAACAACAAGTGCTGATGAGGATGAAGTCTATGGTTAAACAATATAAAGTCTCAAAAATTACTCAAAATAATAAGAATAACTATTATTTAGTTTTTATGACATTTATAGAAATAGTCATACAGGGGTGTGTGTGTGTATAGATATATATACAAACATATGTACGTATACATAATTTGTGACTAATTGTGAGAATATTCAGTGATAAGAAAGGTGGATGAATTGGAACTCAACACCAAGCAAAGAATACCATTTTCAGGTTAAGTCTCAGCACTATCACACTATCACAGCTTTGGCCTGAGTTTCATCCCCAGCTAAAGAGCTAACCCACATGGCACTGCAGACCTCTCCTATCTCCCTGCTGCTTCCCTCAGCAGTGTATTTCAGTAGATATGTCTGTTCTGCTCCACCACTTTTTCTCTGATGAATCCTCTCAACCCTTGCACCTATAGCCATACCCCAGCTCTCCTATGCAAAAAGAAATAAAATTTAAAAAAGTTAAAAATATATAAAAATCTTCTAATGATGAAACATTGTTTCACCTGATAATTTGCATATGCAAAAAGGATAGAGATAAAAGAATTATGTGATTAATCTGAATGAATTGAGTAAATATAATTTGGATGATAAGCTTTCAAATTGTAAATATAACTTTATATTAGAAGTCAAGGACTGAATATGACACAAATAAAAGTAGATGGTACATAAGTCTTTTTAATGCTGGAAGGATACAAATATTAATTTTTTTAGATTTTAATTAATGGAAAATGTATTCTATAAAATGTCATATGTTAATAAAAGTTTATTTGAATCCTATTGATTAATATATTCTTATAGAGAGTAAAATACACTTATTGTGAATGAAGAAGAAATGAAGATAAAGTTCAAAGAAATTGTAATATTCATCCAAATTAAATGAAAACTGTATTGTATTGTTATTGTACTTACTTACCATTCATTATATCTCTGTCTTGACACATAATATTTTTTCGACATCACACATTAATTTTGTCTACCCATTGTGACAAAACCAAAGACACCAGAGACAGAGTGGGGAGCAGAACAGGATGTTTTGCTGAAATATACTGCCAGGGGTTTAGAAGGTGAGACAAAGAGGTCTGCTCTGCCATATAACTCCTTGCCCTAGGTAATTCTGATAATAGTGGTAATACTGGTAATTCCTTGCCTCAGGCCATACTGGTAATAGCACTGAGACTTAACCCCTACACTAGCAGGGAGGCCCACATTTCTTTACATTGTTGGGTAAGAAGCTACATTCAAGTATAATCATTATTTATGAGCATTTATTGTTTGATTTCATAATTTACATTCCCTCCAAAACACACATCATCATTTCTTCACAGGCTAAAATTTAGATGAAATGTAAACTGCAATAAAATCAAAATTTTAAAAATCATTCTATACTTTATTTGATTCTTAATATCAGAGATGAATTATTGAATTAACATTACAATAACTAGAGAAAGGTAATTTATTCCTTATAAAATTAACATTAACCTAAATACTATAATATTTATGGTTTTATAATTTAAAAATTGTTATATTAAGATTTGTATTATATGAATAAACTTGATTTTATCAAGAATATTAAAGTAATTAAGATTTGGTGGAAAAAAACTTAAAAAAAAACCCAAAAGACTAAACTTAATAATATGCAATATTGGTTTAAAAAATCTAAAAAGTTAATTTTTAGTTCTCAATGAGTTCTTTCAATATCACAAAGCATGTTATTGAGCAGTGAAATGATTA